ATATCGGTGTGTCGTTGAACAATATAATCCCCTCATCGGTACGGATTTATCGCATTGCCACATAAATATTATAGGATTATTGTTTTTCATATTATTTTGATGTGCTGGTTTGATTCATTTATTGTTTATTGTCGTATTATTGTCAGATGGAAGTGAAAGAGGATCACTCAGAGAGTTCAGAAGAATCGGATGTGGATGATGGAGAGCGCAAGTCGAAGAAGAAAGCGAATAGGTTCTTTATTTATGACTGTTTATTACTGATTATTATTGTTATTGTTAGTTGTTTGATTTTTGTTTGATTGAAAGAGTTTTAGATTATTGAATCATCACCGGCGAGTCGTGCATCCAATAGTGCCGATTGCATTGGGTCGTTCAAGACGGCATGTGGCGAAGGTGGATTATAAATTCGGAGATTATGACAATCTGATTCAGGTGGGTTGTCGTCGTTGTTTAACTGAAATATTTTGTGGTTTGTGTTTTTGTGAGTGTTCTTATTACATAGATACATTTTAAGGAGGCAATGGAGAGTATTGACGAAACTTCAACAAAACAAAAAGTCACTAAAGGTATTTACTGTCTTAACATTATTACGAATGACAAATTCATTGTGAAGAAGATGTTTTCAATAATTTTATTTGTACTAAACAAAAATAAACTGAATGCATAACATACAGATTCGTGCCGTCCGCAAGGTGGTTTGGGTGTTGGAAAGGATATGGCCAATATAATAAATGCGGAGAATCAACGGAAATCAAGTATGGATNGGGTGTTGGAAAGGATATGGCCAATATAATAAATGCGGAGAATCAACGGAAATCAAGTATGGATAGCTCGACAACGATTGGTGACGAGAAACCAATTCAACAGTTCGTTTGTTTCTAATTAGCTTACTTGATTCTTATGTAGTTGTGATAGCAGTGATTAATTGTATTTAAGATGTTGTTTTTCAGAAAATCAAATGTGGGTAAAGCACCAAAATCACATCGACGGTTGAATAATCTGGATGTGGACGAATTGACTGAGTCTGATTCTGAGGAATATCATGCCAGCGAGTTAGTATCTGTCTTTGTTATTGCTATCATTATAAATATTTTATGAATTGGTTATCGTGTGTCGGTTCAAGATTATTGTATAATAGTTGAGGCGTAATTAATTTGGTGTTATTTTTGGTTGAACCTGGATTTAATAGACTGAATTCCAGAGAGAGCACCGAGGCATCAGACGCGATTTCGGACGACACCGATGAATACGTTCCATCGGATGAGGCGAGAAGGTTGGTTGGCATTTGGCTTTGTTTTGATTTGTATCGGAGATGACTGTGTGCATTGTTGAAGAAGATCAACGAGACGTGCTCGAAGTGTAGACGATTTCGTCGTGTCCGGATCAGAGGAGAGTGAATACGAACCAGTCAAGAAGAAACCGAACAAGAAGCCGAGCAGATCCAGCAAACGATCGCGGAAACGTGGAAGGAGGTGTGTATTTTATTTGTGGCGTTTGATATTGTGATTATCATTATTGATGCATTTGCCTTTTTGTCTGCATTGTACTATGTTGTAGGTTATCAACGTCAACAGAAGATTCGACAACTGAAGAGGAGACTGAGATGGATCTGGGAGAGGAGAGCGATAGTGAAGTGAGTAATAAGAGACGACGACAGTCGGTGACGAAAAGACGATGGGCACCGCACGAGTCGAGCTCAGATGAAGAGGAAGACGATTATGATGACGTGAAACGGACGGAAACCGGAAGGTTGATTTGTTTCTATGGCTTGTTGATTAAACACTCTCACGATCAGATGGAAGGAATCACAAACAGAAATTATGACGGATATAACAGTGAAACTAAATAATGAATCTACTTGAAGGCCACTTCGTAAAGCGGTGGTGAAAGCGAAAAAAGCTGAAGAAGAGAAATCAAACGAAGACGATTCGATGAGTGATGAAAGTAAGGGAAGTGATGATGGCGGCGGTGATGCTGAGCAGCATCCGAAGAGTATTTCTGGTGGCAAGAAAAGAAAACGAATCAGGTTTGTTCGTTTGTGGGTTCTTTGGTTTGAAATTTTGTTTAATTCTTCATTTGTCTTTATGTGAATTTATTTCATAAGGGAAAACGTTGAATTTAGTTTGGATTTGGAATATCTGACGGTGTTTGGAATAATCGATGAAATAAATTGCTGATTTGAATTAATCGAAAGATGATTTCAGTTCTGATGAAGGCGATTTCGAGCCTGATGAAGAAGAGGTCGATGAGGAGGAGGAGGAAGAGAACGCGACAGGTGAAGAGGATGAGCAGGAGAGTGATGATAATAATAAAGCAGGTATGGCTATTACGTTCTGTTTTATGTGGTGTGATGGTATGGTACGGTACGGTAGAGAGTAGAAGCAATTTGGATTTGTGAAGATTTCTGTTCAACGTTCAGCGTTCTTTTCAGAATGTTCAACAAAGCCGAACGCAAACGATGAAACGAAAAAAGACATTGATGAAAAGAAATCAGATGATAAGGAGGAGAAATGCGATGAATCAAAGCAGGTAATTGGTGTAATATTATCGTTGTTGCCTTCGTAGGTTAAGGAATGCGAATGCATTGATCAAGCAATTTATCTATTTTTGTAGGAGAAGACAAAAGAGGAAGTGAGTGAGGTTGTGAATGTGAGTGACACAAATAAACTCAGTGCGCAACCAGAGCAACAAGCAAATTCAGAATCAGAATCAGCCAGTCCAGTTGCTACGATAACTGCAGTAAAGGTTTCGTTGTTCAGTTATTTTTAGTGTGCGATTGATTGTGTATTCATTATGTGTTAGTATAATTCATTAGTAATAATAATAATAATAATAGTTATAATTTAAGGTTGAGCCAGTAAAAACTGAGGAATTGGTGAATAAAGTATCGCCGTCAGTATCGCAGCCGTCCACGTCGAAATCAGTCATACCAACGACAATATCTCATCCAATTAATTATCCGTTTGTTTTTGTGTATTATTCATCGTTAGAATGTGCTTGTTCTGTATTTTTTTAAAATTCATTTCAAGTGTTTCAATGTGTTAATTGCAGTAAATTTGTTGTTATTATTTATTCATTTTTGATTGGCTTTATGAAATTCGATTGGCAAATTTACTCTAACGAGAAGATTTAAGAAAGTGTTTTAAAAGGATGGTGTTGAAGTGAGTTGATAGTTGAGTATTTGCGTTTATTTGTGATTTATTAAAGAGTGCCGTGTTCATCGTCCGCACCCTCGCCAGCGATCGTCAACGATCCGTCGAAAGTGATCCAGCAGATGGCCAAGCTGGCCACGCCAATCCAGTCAGTACCAATCAACGCCACCTACCCACCACCGCCCCATATGTCCTTTCAACCGGTATTGTCAGCGCATGGCAGTGCACCAATCCATATCAACAATCCATACATCGCCTATTCATCGCATCATAAACTGCCAACTTATATTGGTTCGATTTTTTGTTCTGATTTGAGATTATTACTTGCTTATATGATCTTTTGAGTGGTTTTGTTAAATGATTGATTGTAATTCAGTGCCACCCTCTGCGACAAATATCTACGGAATAAGACCAGGGGCAATCCCAGCGCAGACGTTGCCTCAGACNTGCCACCCTCTGCGACAAATATCTACGGAATAAGACCAGGGGCAATCCCAGCGCAGACGTTGCCTCAGACGACGTACCATCTGAAGGCACCGCCGCTGATAGCACCGCATTACACACAGTCGCATCCAACAACGCTGCACTCTGATCAGTGGAGTACACCAACTCTTTATAGTAACACCAACAACTTGTTTGATACGTCCAGGTGATTGTTGTTTTGTTTGTGTATCATTTGTGATTGTATGATAATGATAAGGAAATTTGTGTGTACCTTTAGGATTATGATATAAGAATAAGGAATTTTCAGTACGACCGCACCGATGATGATTCCACTGGCGCAACCGATCATACCAATCCCAGCCACAACGTCGAGTGCAAATGCAAACTCGTCATTACCTGATAACAATGATAGTTTGGGGAACGTTCTCGCATCTGCGATGGACTATTGAATTGATTTGATTGTTGTTGAATGTTGCAATTCTTGATTGGTTTCGTTATTTTGTCCTGTTTTGTCCAAGCACTATCTCATTGTTTTCATTCTTCTCTTTCTTACAATTTATCGTCGTTGTGATTACATTTATCCTTTCGGTAGTTTCATCCATTTCTGTAACTATTTTTATTGATCTCTTCCGTTTTTTGTTTTTTGTTTGTGTCGATTTCAGTAGCAGTGCCGTCTGAATATTACTATCGTTTGATTATATAAGAATGGCAGTGCTGTATGATGTGTATTATTTAAGTGAAACTTCATAATATTTGAATTAATTATTCTGTTCTGATAATGAACTAGCAAAGTTGTGTTCACTTCTCATTGTCAGTTGACATGATCGCTCGCTATTATTTTTTGAAGTAATCAACCAGGAATGGTTATTTTTTGAGGTGATATAATAATGTGCGTTCGTTTTTCGATGATCTTTTGAGTGGTTTTGTCAAATGATTGTATTAGTGATTATTTGACGTATATATGAGAGTATAAGTTGATTTAGGATTAACTCGTTGATTGTTGCAATTTGTTTTGGAAAGCAAAATTTCTTTTGTTTCAGATATATTTTGTATTTTTCGTTGTTTTCATTTAAGACAATTTCATTGTGTTGTATAGATGTCATGTCATGTGTATGTAATCGCCTTGCATTTATTATTTAGTTCATCATTGTGATCACTATCACTTCGTTATCCGACGAAAGTAATTGGATAGGGCTTTTTGATAATCTCATTCGATTGTTTCGGATGAGATTAGCAAATTTCTTCGAGTTACATAAATTCAACAAGGAAATATTGAGTATCAAAAGAAAAAATAAACGGATAAACCTTAGGTCGATACTTATCGACATAAGTTTATCCGTTTATGCGATATAAATTTCATGTTCGCTGGAATTCTCGAACGTTTTTTTTTTTGTGAATTCGCGTGAATACGTTTTGTGAAGGATTATTTTGATGAATGTAATCATTGTTATTTTCTTAATCGTTCTACCATGTAAACGCACATAATATATATTTTGAACGATTTTACTATTTATTTGTTAACGCCAGATTACCTTCTGCACCAGAAAATGCTTCCAGATTGTTGTTAAATAATTTGAATTCTTTTACCGATGAGGCGGGGGGGGGGATACCTAGTGATTGTTTTCGTTATTATTTATCTACTCCCATGATTCTGCCTACTCTTGGAAGATTTACAACAGCTCAAAGTCATAGGTGCGACTGAGCTAAAGTGATTCACTAAAACAGTCGCACTTAATAGAGCA